TCTTTGTCTTTGTACCAGCACCGGAGGCTAAGGTGCCCGGCGGGCAAAACCTGGCACGGGCGAGAGACTCCCGTGGCCCACAGAGAGGGGGCACCGCTCGACAGAGGCGTCTGGCCCATGAATTGAGTCGCATAAAAGGAGAGGGAAAACCCGAAACCATTCATCAGAGCCCTCCGCAAAGCTCCCCCGCGAAAGAATCGCCAAGTGGGGTCTCGGCTTGTTGCATGCAGGTTGCGGTTTCAGGGCGCGATCGTTGCCATCGCATTGCGCCGTGGCGGCGGTTACGCAACGTGGAGACAACGGCACGGGGGACGCGAAGCGCGGGGGATGATTTGCATGGATCCGTGGACGGAGCAAAGCGCCTCTCCGTTGGTTCGGTGGCGGCGGTGGTGAGAGTGGGTGGCGGCGGGGGGGGGGGGGGCGGAGGGGGCGTGGGCGAAATATACCGAAATAAACTTTCATCGCTCTCGACGAGTATTTCCCAGGAAGTGATCGAACAGATAAATAAATTAAGGCACAGTCAACACCCTCGTGGATTAATGGGTACAGCCTTGTTGGAAGTCAACAGTTGTTATTTTATGTGGAGAATGACCCCTGTCATTGAAATGTGGCGGATTTCCACCACTTGCTCAGCAGCCACGAGCTGACTCATCGATCAAAGGAGTGCTTTAGTGGCTCACCTACTAGCTTCCTAAGGTGTCCTCGCACATACAAAACACTTCTTGCAAAGGAACTGGCCAGCCGTGCCAACGCAGGCATTCTTGAAAAAACAAAGGAGTCTCGAGTCTCAACGAATGTTTCTCGAATGAATGAATAAATACATACACAGACGACTTCCATTTTCTGACAGCTCTTCATGAGTCTACTGCTGGAGGAAGGCCTCCCAATGCTGCCCGTCATTGTCTGGTCATCCTTCACCAGCGCGAGTTGGCGGAGACAGTGATCGCCCAGGGCCAGTCCAGAGACAGCCACTCTCCAACCGACGTTAACCGTGATTGGGAAATCCAACTAAGGTCACTCGACAGTATTAATATATTTAAAAAATGCATAACAAAACGACGCTGCAATTTTGAAGCTCCCTTTGCGAACGAACGAGATCCGCCGTGACGAGGGCGCCGCTCGCAAGCAGCAGCCGGAGCAGACTCTGAGGCTTTGGTCTTTTTAAAAAAAAATTGTATTTCTCTCTTTCCTGTGAGAATGGCGCGCTTGTGACGGAGGCCGCCACCGGTGACTCACGGCCCAGAGAACCCAGCGGGCTCCTCGCCGCTCACTCCCGGTGGGGGCCGCGTGGCGGCCGCCATGCCACCACCACCACCAACCCCCGCCGGCGCGCCGTTTGACGGCCGCTTAACGCTCACCAGGGGGGGGGGGCGGGGGAGTTGTTTATTGTCGTCGCTTTCGAGTATTTGGCTGCTGCTGCTGCTGCTGCGACACGTTTCTACGTGACGAAGCGATTTGGGTGAGCTATCATCCGCGATAGCCAGGTGGATTCTGCTAAAAGAGCTACATTGCTCAGGGGGCCTTACACCTGGTAAAATAATAAACATGTTTTAGTTTAGTCATCCGACGCTGCAAATGAACGGTTACAAGTATGCACAAATCAACAGGGCATTGAATACCAAAACCAAATCAAATAACAAGGGCATTGAAACTGCCAGAGTAATTAAAACATTTAAAATACCGTACATTGCGGGAGTAACTGATTAACTAGCCAGATGTTTGGAAAAACAAAACATCCGAGTCAGACTTGGCACGGTACATAAAATGCAGAAATTAATATCTGGTACAAAAGATGTATTACCGAAGCTATCAACAGAAGGTGTGTACATGATTAACTGCACGTGTGGTAAATGTTCTGTTGGGCAAACAAATGATCAGCACGAGACTAAAGGAACATCAGATAAAAATTAAATTCTCCCAAATGCAAATGTCAGCAGTAGCAGAACACGCGTGCCAACAAGGACACTCAATTGATTTTGATAATGTTTAAGTTTTGTGCAAAACTAGCTACTACTGGCCAAGACTAATTAGATCATCTATCGAAATTGAAATAAATCAAAATAACTTTAACCGTTCAGATAGCTACCGCCTTAGCGCTGCGTGGAAGCGAATAATCAAATAATACATTATTTGAATGCATGCCTACACAGGGCAGCGTACTTCAATAAGGATTACCGTTGGTATGACTATTTTAATACACACAATAGACAGTAAGGACAAGTTCAAAGGGCTCGCATAATGCACATGCATAATGTACGCAGACTCAGTCATCCCCCCCACCCCCCACCCCCCACATTGTGGAAGAGTGCAGAAGGGTGGTCAACACATCTACGCCGCTATATAAGGAACGAAACAGTTCGACTTCTCCACAAATCTGGCTGTCGCCTGATGAAGGTAGTTGTAATTACTGGCGAAACGTCGTACTCAGATTGTAAATGTTGTGGCTTGGCTCTCCAACACACCGGTGTTGCTGTACTAGTGACGAATTAGCCACGTTCTGTTAACGTGACAACCCTTACTAGTTGGCTGTGTCGGGTGGTGGCGGGTTTTAACGACATTAAATATTTACGCGATCTAACCCAAAAACCTCTATTATGGATGATATTGGTCACGAAAGCCTACCACACATTAAACGGTGTTGAGATGGTCAAACACCAATAAGATACCTTTTGCAAGGCATCGAGTCTGCATGAACCACACACAGCACTTGTGCCAAAACATGCAAACAAAAACATGCTCTGAAAATAGATGGCATTGCCTTTGAAACTAATTGGCCTACACCAGAGACAGCTTTCTTTGTGACCTAGTCTCACCAGTGTCAGATCAGAGAACGCCAAAAGGTGAACAGTCCAAAGACAACGCCACACGTATCAGTGCACTTATAGCTCAGGATGAGCAGTTCTATCATGGAACATTTTTTGTCAGTACCAAAGTAGGGAAACTAAGGTGCCATGACATATCTGCTCACCCCGAGCAGGTATGTCATGCATGCCGAGACCATAAACTCACTTCACTTGAGAACCCAGCTTAATTACATCTCAGTATATGTGAGTCTATGGGTCTCTATATGAGTCTGTGGGTCTCTATGTGAGTATATGTGAGTCTATGGGTCTCTCTATAAGTATTTGGGTCTCTATGTGAGTATATGGGTCTCTATGGGTCTCTGTGGGAGTCTATGGGTCTCTATATTAGTCTGTGGGTCTAAATGTGAGTCTAAGGGTTTCTATGCGAGTCTATTCGTTTCTATGTAAACCACCAGTGACTGGCCCTGGGACCATCAGCTCACGACACTTGGGAATGCAGTTTAACTACAGGCGGCTGAGACCTGGATTGGAACCCGGGATCTGAGCAGTGGCGGCTACACAAGGCATCATGGGTCCCACGAGGTCGAGCGCTGCACTCGAGGGTTACGATTATGCAATTGTGAAGATAAATAATTATATATGTTATTCATCATCAACCCAGCCAACAGAATCGACTGCTTTAATCTCGCTTCTCAAATCCGCACAATGCAACCTATTGCATCAGTAAAACAAAACATTGTTTACGATCAGTAAAATATTCACCGTGCGCTAAGTTTAAAACAATTTACTATTGCGTTCGTGAATAATTCAGAATGTTTTCTAATTTATAAATGAATTATAGATGCTGTGAGCGAATGCAGGGTTGACTGTGGCACGTTCATTGCCTCACCACGGTATTGAGAGAGAGCACCTCTGATGGAAGGTCATTGCCCCAAAAGGTCATCGTCATCAGCCATGACCAATGCACTGCTGGATGAGGGCCTTCCCAGTTCGCCACCGCAAACCTCGAGGCCACGCAATGACGTCACGGTGGACGTGCCCTCGGACGCGTTCCCTCCGTGGGCTGCCACTCCATCCTTGGTCTTGACCATCGGCCATCGCCCCCCTCTACCGACGTGTCCCACCCAGGCCGCCTCTCTCGAGCTCGCTCAATCTCATCGGCGCACCGTTCGCTCAACTGCGCATGCGCGAACGAGTGGGTTGGGAGGGCCGGTGGTGGGGGCTGACGGCCGCCCGCTGCCGTACGTGTATGCACGACCAATGGGAAGGGTTCAATCTCTAACCTGAAGAAGGGCGAATGCCCAAAACGTCCCCGTCGTACATGTTGTTTTCCTTTACAGGGCAAAGCCAATGACGTGTTCCTCTGCTGAGCGCTGCTAATTTATCTTACAAATGCTCTGGCTTAGCGCGTTCGACCCTTCCCCTCCAATCCCCTCGCTCCCTCCCTCTCCCCTCTGCAGGGAAAATGGAAAATGACTTTGTTCATCCGAGTAAGATGGGCTTCGAGGACGCTGCGTTATTAATCCGCCAACTACGCGGACGCCCGTTGCAACTTCAGCGCGCACGGATCTTTTTCAGCTGGGTCTGTCTGCCTGGGCGACTCGTAAACAAATCCCACACCCGGCACACCATATCCAGTATACCCTTTTACCGTGGATGTGGCTTTCAAACGACGTGCCTTAATCCAGTCTGCCAGAAACCCGGAAAATAGTTCCGCACCCGGCACACTACATCCAGTTATACTGTATTGCTGTGGATGCGGATAATATTCAGTCACGTGCCACCTATTCTGGTCTACCAAGGACCCTGAAAATATTTCCACACCCGGCACACCACATCCATCCACCACACCTCTCTGTGTGGCTGTGGCCACTACCGGTCACATGCCACCTCCTCCGGTCTACCAGCGACCCAGAATGCATGTTCTCACACTTGGCCCACCACGAGCAGCATACCTCTCTGTCTGACCGCGGATGCTAAAATATGACTTGGTAAGGAATGTGAAACCCACGTAGGTTGATACACTTGATACAGCGAACTTTGTTGTGTCTGTTCCACCTTAAGACGGAAGCTTGTGGTTGCCTCCGAAACGTCGTGATTTAATTTAGTTGTTTTCTTTTATTTTTATTTTATTTCACCTACGTGACTTTACCGAAAAAAACCAAAGAGTATGAACCCGCGTAGGTCTTCACTGACCGCCGAAGAAGCTCTTGGTCCGCAGGAAGCTGACGCTGAGCCTCAGGATGGAGAGCTTGTCGAGCTTGGAGATGACGTCCGGAGGGAAGGGCAGCATCCCGGCCAGGCGCTCCATCTCCGCGTTGAGGCGGTCCCGGTGCCGCTTGGAAGGATTCGTCTTCTTGGGCACCACGACTTCCGCCTTGGGGCTGCGAGGCGTACACGAAGGGGGGGGGGGGGTTGTGCAGGGTTACACACGTGAATGTGTGTGTATACGCTCGGTGCTTGCTAAAGCACTTGCCCCAAAAGTCGCTATAGGCTATCGGCTATAGGGGGATTTTGTCTTTGTAAATACATTGTGCGTTATACACCACAGCAGGTACTCATTTGAGACTGAGTCACCGAAGTTTAGCACGCTGCGCTACAAACCCGGCGTTTGATTTGCGCTCACGGCCAACACCAGAGACGATTATCTCAACTGGTACTGGGCCTCCCCTAGGTCGACTCAGCCTCAAATGAGTACCTGCCGTGCCACCTTTCCTAGGTGCTCGCTAACAGCACTTGCCCAAAAAGTCCGTAAAGGTTAAATGGGGGATCTTGATCTTTGTGTGTTTGTGTAAAGCTGCACACACACACACAGGCTCTAAATTGTATTTTATACTTGCAGGGTTACACAGACGTGTGCGCATGCATTTCTACGCACACGTATTTATACGTCGGTATGCATGCACAAACACGCGTACATGTAACCCTGCACACACACGTGTGTAACTAAGCACATACATACACACACGTGTAACGCTGCTTGCTATGTACATGTACACACTCAAACATACGCATGTAACCATGCATATTTACACACACGTGTGTGTAATCATGCATGTTATACACGTACAGACGTGTGTAACTTCTGTTAGCGAGCACCTATGAAGGCCGGCACGGCACATGCCGCCTTTGTCTCCCCAGTGGCGATGTTTACACACCGCACCAGGTACTCATTTGAGTCTGAGTCGACCTAGGGGAGGCCCAGGACCGTTTCAGATAATTGTCACTGGTATTGGCCGCGAGCAGGAATCAAACTCGAGTCGCCAGGTTCGTAGTGCAGCGTGCTAACCGTTACACTACCGCTTCCCGCACACACATGAGCAGGGTTACATAGACACACACACGCACACATTTGTGTATGTAAACCTTCACACGTGACGCAGAAAAGAACCACTCAGCACTATCTACGAACACGTGGAGACACCGACGAAGTGGCAGGTTGCACTCAACAACAACAGCAACGTCTTAAAAGCTCCCAACTTCACGTGAGTGACATGCGGAAAAGTTGAAGTGTATTCCAGCGATGCCCCGGTGTACGTGCGGGGGATGCGTTCCCGAAATGAATGTGCGACGGACGAACGAACGTCGAAACGACGTCAATCAAAGCGATGGCACCGGGTCAAATGGGTGGAGGCGACGGGTACGAGAGAAAGGAGGGAAGATGCTGTCAGCGACGTGAGCGTGTGTGGGGTCGAGGCGACGCGAATCGGGTAGCGGTGTTGATAATAAAGTGACGACGTACTTGCGAAACGACGTAAATCGGGGCAAGACTGTAAATCATGAAAATATAATAATTGTATTTTTTTCACCCTTTCCGGCAGTAAAACAGGAGGTGTTAAGATGTTTAAACACCAAACAGATGCATTTTGTAAGGAATCAAGCACAGCATTAGCCACATACACAGTGCTTGTGGTGAACATGCAAACGAACATCGCTCTGGTCATTATCTGATGCGTTGTCTTTGACTGATTGGCCTACACCAGAGACAGCCGCCTTCTTGATGGCCAACGCCTAAAGGCGAAGAGTACGAACACAATGCCACATATATCATCATTATCAGAGCCGTGTTTGTTTGCATGTTCATCACAGGTACTGTGTGTGGTTAATGTAGTACTTGAATCCTCGTTTGAACATCTTAACACGTGACTGCAGGGATTCATATTCTTGGTTCTATCGGTAAAGTCACGTAGAAGGGAAATAATAAAATGATAAAAATAAAACAATAAAATTCTCACGACGTTTCGATTGCAACGCAAACAATCATCATCAGGTGTGAAAAACCACAGCAAGAAAATTTGAAAAAAGTGGCGGTTTTTAAAACTTTTCTTGCTGTGGTTTTTCACACCTGATGATGATTGCTTGTGTTGAATTCGAAACGGCGGGAGAATTGTATTGTTTTATTTTTATCATTTCATTATTTCATCTTAACACCTGTTTTTATTGCCAGAAAGGGTTAAAAAAAACCTATTCCTATTTTTGCATGCTTTGATGCTGGCAAAAAAGGGTCCCGTGATCGTGTAAATCACTTCCACGTAAGGTGGCAGGGCCTATCACGCGAGCTGCCGAGTGGAGAAGCCACACACTGCCATCGACGGCGGGGCGACCGAACATCGACCGTCGATCTTCCGTTCTCCAGAGCAACAGCAACAAAGAACACGAGCCACGTGTTTTATTTTATATATATACACACACAAGAAGCGATGACCACGGAGCTCCGTGAAATGAAATATGAACAAGTGTGACCGATTGATCGATCGTCTGCGGATACTGTTGCCGGTATTTTGTGGGGTTTCATTTTGTGTTTTGATCGCTAATGAACAATGCTCCTCTCGATGTGATGACAACGCTGCCGTAGTTGTAAACTCGTTATTGCGCTGCAGGGGTCGTGAAGCTGACAGCGGCACTGAGCGTTGATGCCGCCTGGTGAAGAACAGCTAAGTAACCAAACTGTGTACCTCTGCAAATGGCCGACGCACAACATCTCCTTCGTAAATAAAAAATAAATTCATTAAAAGACTCAAGCCGCGGTGTTTACGATTGTGGCCTCACAACCCAAACTATGGAGCACACGGTAAAGCCATAGAGACACGCATATGTTGCTGTACATTCGGTACAAGTAATGCGATTGTGGCCATGCAACAAGTTTTTTTGTTGCATTCGATACAAGTAATGCGATTGTGTCGTTAAAACCCACCACCACCCGACACAGCCAACTAGTAAGGGTTGTCACGCAAACAGAACGTGGTCCATTCGTCACTATAGTACAGCAACACCGGTGTGTTGGAGAGCCACGCCACAACATTTACAATCTGATTACGATGTTTTGCCGGTAATTACAACTAGCTTCATCAGGCGACAACAATATTTGTGGAGAAGTCCTCCTGTTTCGTTCCTTAGAGGCGTAGATGTGGTGACCGCGCTTCTGCGTTCTTGAGTCAACGTACATTATGCATGCGCATTATGCGAGCCCATTGATCTTGTCCTTCCTGTCCATTGTGTGTAATAAAATAGCCGTACCAACGGTAAACTACAGAGCGTAGAGTCAACCACGGCAAGTCTGCGCTCCCTCAACGGAGGAGGAACAGCAAAAACCACACGGGCGCTCTTCTGAAGCCCTCTCGTCCGTGGCCAACAGACCCCGGCGTTCGCACGAAGCCCCTGAACATTCCTTGCTGCCAGCATACGCAAGCACAGAACTCTGCAACGCAGAAGCGGGATGATTTAACGCGTCTTTAAGTTCCCATCGCATCAACACGAGTCGCACGGCACGACTGCATTCACGATTTCATTATCATAACTCGTGTTGTTGTCTGGCGCGTCAAACCAACGGGCTACGCTGGGATGACCGTTGTTGTTGTTGTGGCGTGGCCGCTGCCTCCGCTCGCATCGAATTTTGCTCCGAGATTGAGTGGTGCAGGAAACCAGCACCATCACCACCATGACCACCACCACTCGCATCAAATTTCGCTCCGAGATTGAGTGGTGCAGGAATCCAGCACCATCACCACCCCCTGTTCGCATCAAATTTTGCTCCGAGATTGAGTGGTGCAGAAAACCACCACCAGCACCATCGCCACCGCTGGGATCGTAAAACTCCCGCATTGCGCGCAGACCATCACAGACACTGTGGCGCGAGCGCGATAAGATAACCTTCGACCACGGCATTCGTGTGTTTGTCCCCTCCGCGGTGGAGGCGATGGAATTTAGAAGACTCGCGCACAGTTCAGCTCGGAGTGGATCAAGGAAAAGTCGGCGACATGATTGTACATTTTTTTTTAAACGATAAGCGAACAGGGAGGTGTGCACACGTGGAGAGAGCGAGGTATGCACGTGGGGAGAGAGAAGCTCGCGGAAACATCGGCAAGGGGAGAGATAAACAGATGGAGAAAAGGAGACGGGGATAGAGATGCAAGGTGAGAGAGAGACACGGAGAGACGGAGCAACGGGGAGACACAAAGACACAAGGATAGACGCGTGTGTATCTGGCGTGCTTAACAAGTCTATGCAGCGTGCAGGACATGCAACAGGTGTGTGCGCGCGTGCGTGCAACACGTGTGTGCGCGCGCGTGCGTGCACACACGTGTTGCATTTCTTCACACAGCACGTGCCACGTACTGTATACGAGTGAAATCCCACAGCGATTGGCATATCTCTGAGCCTCATACGCATCATCGTCATCCACTGTCTCTATCCGCTGTCGTATCAACGCCTCCTACCCACGCCATCGCCGCTCCTCACGGTCCTGCAATTCCACATTCCATCTCACTCCAGCACTCGAAACTAATCTCATCGCTGCATCTCCGCGGCGGCGTTCGTCCTCTCCACGACGTTTCCCTCCTTTGCCTGCCATTCCTCACCAACGTAGGTAGCCGTCGCGTTTCACCCACTCGATTGGCGTCTATTCGTGTGCTTCGTTTCAACACGCGATGATCCAAAACAAATGTTGTGTTCGCGCCCCTCCTGTGTTGCACCGGACGCGTGGAGCGGTGACGCAAGTATCTTGAGCTACAAATCCGGCAGGGCTATCCGAGTTACATTCCGGGCCACTGTCAGCATCGATATCTCTCAACCGGTCTTGCTCTTCACCACGAACGCCGCTTCAACCAGACGGCAACTGACCAACGTGACGGTGGAAGTGTGGTCGACCCCCCCCTCGTCCCCCCACCGAACCACCCAGCCCCTGACTGACGCGGCGTGAGGAGGGAGCCACTCATCCAGCAGTGGAGTCCCGGCGCGAGTGGATTGGGGATCCGAACCCAATGCCCGCTGTGTGCCCCCCCCCTCCTCCTCCCCTTCATTTGCCCCACGAGACTGAGTGCGCGCTGCGTGCCTGCTACTGGAGTGCGGGAGGCAACTCCGAGGGCCCCCTACCCCCCCTGGCGCTGCGCTTAGGGTGTCACGGACTCGGGCAGCAGCTCTTTGTGTGTGTGTTTTAACCGCGGTTTTTTGTATTTTTGTGATTACATTTAGTTCTGCTTTTTTTTTTAGACCTGCACAGCAGCCTGCGACCTCCGGGTGAAAGGTGCTTAAGAAGTTTAAATCATTATTATTATTATTACATGTCATTATCGATATCAGCCGTTTTCGGTTCCCACGCTCTTTCTGCATGCTCTCTATATACCGTACTTATATTATGAATTCACCCGGAGGTGTGGAGCGGTGGCGCAGTGGTTAGCACGCTGCACTGATGCCAGCAAGCCTGAGCTCGCGATTTCTGCTCACGGCTCACACCGAGCATAAAGAGCACTTTAGAAGCACGTGGAGGAGAATGAGTGGCGCAGCGCGGCTGCCATGGACCCTGATTGCGATGAATTCAACATGAACCTCTTATCCAATTCACCCCCCGGCCCATAGGCCGTCAAAGTAGTTGCATCGTCAGCGCACTGGGTCAGCGACAAATCTCTTCCCCCTTCACCAACCGGCCACTGACAGGCGTGGTGAAATATGGTCAAACATCCCCCCCCCCACCTCCACCTACTCGCCCTCCCCACCTGTGACGGACATTGCCTAATGAGGCAATTTCATCCAGCAGTGGATCGTCAAAGGGTTCTATGCAAAATATATCTTGAGCGAATGGAAGCTGACGAATGGAATGTACGTTGCGGTGGTTGTTGTTGTCTGCTCCGAATGGTCCCCGTGTATTCCGTTTAAATCTTTGCACGGCGCGTATTGTACCGCAAAAAAACCTCCTACGGAGTTGTATTAAATCAACCATCGAAACAGACACAAACACAATACGCAAAGGGTCTAGCTTCTCCGGTGGACTACCGCAGGGCTCACAGGGCAGTGGTTGGGTGCGCTGAGCAAATAGTTTATAAAAGGGGCACAGATGTTTGAAATTACAATGATGATGATGATCATTATTATTATTATATCAGGGTCATTGTTTGATAATTTGGGGACAATAATTACCAGTGTTATTCGTAATAAAGGTTTTTTTTCAGGGGGTTAGATCGCGTAACTATAAAGTGTGTCGTTAAACCCGCCACCACCCGACACAGCCAATTAGTAAGGTTTTGTCATGTAAACAAAACGTGGCAATTTTTTTACGAGTACAGCCACACACCAGTTGTGTGTTAGAGAGTAAACCGACAACATTTACAATCTATATGTATTATATTTACGCGATCTGACCCAAACAAACTCTCTGTTAAATTCCCAGTGTTGTTGAATAAAGGAAAGTCAGAGGCAGTTGCACGTGAACGCTTTCCCCTTTTTGATTCAGCGTCACACCCCACAGAGTTCGTCTACTCTGCAGCGTGTATCACGAGTGGTTGAAGCAATTTAAAATTCGGACCGAACCTTTTTCTGTTTTTAAGAGTGTCCAACTTCTAAAGTTTAATATACATATGTCATTCGAGTTATAATGCCCGTGCAAACTTTTTTCGAGCTCCATAAACATTCCGACACAGAATTAGAATGCACATCACTCTCACTCAACGAGCGTGTATTGATATCAGAAGATGCGTGGAATCGGGGCAAACCCTGACGAGCAAGACCACCATCTCTCGACTGCGGTAAACAACGACAGCGCAATGGCGTTAGGGTACTTTGGCGCGTGCCTCATCCTACTGCAAGGAATGAAACGGCGGTGGGGGGGGGGGCTGAGGTCCAATGCATTACTCTTCCACTTCAGTGACCGGTCCTTGCCCCCCCCCCCTCCCACCTCCTGCCCCGTAGACACCGGTGCAGTTGCACCGCCTGCACACTCAATAGCTAACGCCACTGGCCAAGGGAACTCCCGTGAACCCGACCCCCCCACCCCCACGCCGCCCGCATCAATGTCTGGCGATTACCTTCTTATCACGGGTTTCTTGCGCTTTTTGCCCGCGTACAGTCCCCCGGAGCCCCCCACGCTGGAAGCCGCGAGCTGGTGGGGGGACGCAGGGGGTCCCGGGGCCCAGGGCGCGAGCGCTGGCCCCGGGGAGAGAGGGGAGCGGCCCGGGAGAGCGCCGCTGTCTCTCGGCATCCTGGCGCGAGACGACGGCAGGAGGAATCCTTGCTCCATGCTAGCGTCTGCGGGGCTGAGCGCCAGCATGAACCCCTGCGCGGGGTCTGTGGCGTCACGGACCCCGCGGGTTCCCCGAGTGCGAGGGTCCCCAAGGGCGGGGGGGGTCCCTCGTTCGGCGACTCTCGGCGACTCTCACGGCTCAGCAGCGAGGCGAGGCTCGGACGGCGGAGGAGCTGACGGGTGAGAGAGAGGCAGACAGGCAGGTAGAGAGAGTCGATCGTAGGCTTATTCGGTTGTCTCAAGTTGTAACGCTGGCGAATTTAAAGGCGGCGGCGACGACGGCGGCGGCGGTGGCGGCGGTGGCGAGGCCGCGATGGCGCACGGAGTGCACGGCGCGATGGGGCTTCGCCACGGAGGCGGCTCCGCGCAGAGAGGCTAAGGACGGGGGGGGGGGACTCTGGGAGGAGGCGGGGGAGGAGGAGGCGGCGGCTGGAGAGGGGGCGGAGGACGCGATGGAGGAGGAGGAGGAAAGTCGACGCGCGCGCACTCCGGCAGCGCGGTCGCTCACGTGGGGGCGCGCGTGAACGTGACGCGGAATTCTCTTCCGCGAGTCTGAGCCGCGCCCCGTGTGCGCTAACCCCGTCCAGGGATGGAATCGTGCACTTGGTGTGGCCGGCAGTGGGGTGCGGTTGGAACAGTGGCGGTGGACTCCCCGTTTTGAGAGAGAGGCCACGACCACCGCCACCAGGGTGGTGCTAGAGGTGTCAACCGGCCACCAACGAAGGCGTGGCGCGCCTTGCCTGGGGAGCGCGCCGCCAGCGATGGAGGAGAATCCACGGGGTTCGTGAAGCTGCTGCTGCTCCTGCTGCTCACTCCCTCGCGATGGCTCAGGCGTGACAGCAGCGTGAGCTGTAGCGAGAAGGGAACTTGTAAACTGCGTGTGCTGTCATTAGTGTTAGTCGCAACAAGAACAACCATCAAATGCGGTTGGTAACTTCTGGACGGAGAGCCATGCGTTCTTTAAACTCATTAGAGGTCATTTGTGGTGGCGTTCGTACGCTTCAATGTAATCTGTGTTTAATGTCGACGTTGGTCGTCGTGAGTTTACTATGCGTCGCAATAAAGCAACACAATGCGCATGGAAATATTGTTCAGATGACATTATAATTATGTAAATAATAGTATCATTCATATAAATATATGCATAATATCCAGTGTTTGAGTGGGCTATTGCGTAATCGGTGATGTGTGTATGGAAGCATTCATTATTCCCAAATATAGTCACAATGAGCGCATTAATGATGCACCGCAGAGACGTAGCCTGCACGTGACCTTGTCACATGGGCAAGTGGAGTGTCCGTTCAGATCAGTAGTCCTTAATCTCTGACTTCGGACGATAATGGATTTTCTATTAAATATAGAAAATCTATGCAACACATAGCACAGTTGGAAATGCTATTTATAGTATCTAATATGCAATCGCAATATTACAATTACGTAAAAAAATTGTTCTTAAGTAATGGCTTATTATACCCATTTAATGTACGTATCATGTTTTTGTACGTGCATGTATAACGTCTAAATAAATGTATGATGGTTCATACGGAGTCCAACGGGCTCGCACAGCACTTGTCAAACCGCTCACAGTCACAAACCACTGCGTTCATCCACCACACACACAATCGCGTTCACTGGCAACACCGTGGATGCGCTTCTCATTGCTTCGTGAGTTGGTGGGGCGGGCGGGGGGGGGAGGTTGAAGCGACGTGGACGGGGTCACTGGGCATTGATTCACGGGGGCATTGGGTGACGAGGCCACGGTGCCTCTCGCCGCTTCCCGCTGCGTGGTGCGAATTGCGCGGATGCTGAGGTCACGGCCAGTGACCCTGGGACACGGCGTGCCAAGGCGAGAACGGCTCTCTCCCTGCGCACCGCCTTCTGCGGGCGTCTCACTCAGCAAAGCCGAGCAACGCAGGTCAGTGTGTGTGTGTGTGAGCGTGTTTATGTGTAGAGCGGGGAGCGGTAGTGTAGCGGTTCGCGCGCTGCGCTACGAATACGGTGGCCCGAGTTCGATTCGCGCTCACGGCCAACACCTGTGATGAATATCTGAACCGGTCCCGGGCCTCCCCTAGGTCGACTCAGCGTCAAATGAGTATCTGGTGCGGTGTGTACTAAACATCGCCACTGGGGAGACAAAGGCGGTCAGGCGTGGTACTGGCCACCCACCTCGTGTTCCGTTCCAGCCTTCATAAATGGCTCGCGAATAGCATTTGCCCCGACAGTGTGCACAGGCTATACGGGGGAACTTTGTCCTTGGTATGTATATGGATGGCGATGGTTTAGCGGTTAGACTCCAGCGCTACGAATCCGGTGAGCTGAGTTCGAGTCCAGGTTCCATCACGGCCTGAGTCCCGTGACGAGTCATATCTGAACCCATTCTCCAGGATTTTTTTTACGTCGACTTAGCCTTAAACGAGCACACCCGGTCGCGACGTGCAACACTCGGTCGTGGCGAGTAACATCAGCCCGAGGGAGACAAACGTGGCCGTGCTTTGCTCTGGCCACACCCCCCCAGTCTCTTCGTGCGCCGTGCCGGCCTTAATAGGTGCTCGCTGACAGCACTTGCCGGCTACACAGGGGAAACTTTCTGTTCTGTTTTAGCTTATGTATATGTGTGTGTATGTGCCTTTCTAGATATGTGTGTGTGGGTCTATGTATATATGGTTGTTTATGTATGTCCATGTATGTTCATGTATGTGTGTTTATGTATATGCGTGTTCATGTGTTTATGTATGTTTGTGTACGTGTTTTATGTATGTTATGTATTTATGTTTATGTGTACGTGTGTTTTGTGTGTTTATGTATATGCATGTTTGTGTGTGTGTATGTTTATGTATATGTGTGTTTGCGTACACGTGTACACGTACAAAAGAAAACATTCCAGACAAATGCGCCAGACTGTTCAGACATCCCCAACATCCATGCAGAACGCCTGGACCGTCAGAGTTGACGCACGCGCTATATGGGATGTCGCCGTCCATACACGACTCAGACCTGTAGCTGATTACCCGGTGCACTGTTGAAACATCAGCGCTGGGGAGTTGACCAGCCAAGCCCCCCCCCCCCCCCCAATCGTGGCCTTGGGAGGTGCTCGCTATTGCCTCGACAAACGTGGGGGAACATTTCGACTGTCAGGGTATGCGTTTGTGCACATGTATGCTCCGATTAGCACGGTTGGCTACGTACGGTGCGAAAGAACTTCAACATTATTTATATGTTTGTGTGTATGTGTATTTACGTGCGACTGTGGGTTCTTCGTTTATGTGGTGACATACACGTGTGTGTGTGTGTGTGTATATACGTGCATGTGTATGCGTGTACATGTTTTATGTCTTTGTGTAAGTGTACACATGTATATATGTACATCTCAGTGAATAGCCCACTGCTGTAAGGACCGGGCTATGTAAATTGTAGCAAACCCGGTCACGGCTAATATCACTGGCGAGTAATAACTGAACCGGTCCCTGAGCCTCGCCATTGAGGAGACAAAGGTGGTCTCGGACGTGGTGCTGGCCACCCACCCCCTAATTCGTCTTGACGGCCTTCATAGGCGCTCGCTAACAGCATTTGCTCATACAGCCTGTGGGGGATCTTTGTATATTTTGTGTATATATAAGGATATTTATGTATGTGTTTTGGTTTGTTTCCCTAATAGTTTAAGGCTATGCGGTGAATACTGTGTTAGTTGTCCCATGTGTGTCGTGTGTGTCATGTGTGTGTCATGTGTGTGTCATGTGTGTGGGTCTCTTTGCCTGGAGCTCCTTTACTTTTTCCTTTAATTAACATGTCACTTGCTGTTTGTGTTTTTACTCTGCACGTTACGTGTCGTTGTTCGTAGTATAACAGTAAACATGTTTATGAACGAAAACGCCCAAGATAAGATTCGATTATGCATCCTTGAAAAAAATATAAAAAATCGTATTGTGTATGCACTTTTGTGAAATAAAAAAATAGTAAAAAACTTAAAAAATAAAATAACGTCATTTTCTCGGTGCGCTTAAGTTGGCAGGGTTGAGATGAATCACATAGGCTGTACAAAGCCAGGATGTTGATGAATTTGTTATAATGGTCGATTTTTAAGGCCCAACGAAAAAGCAGTTTGGCTGATACAACAACAACAAAAAGCCGCTCCCGCTAATGTCTCTGGTGCTTGCAGAAAGCTCATTAGAGAAGGGGACATGCACGTTGACTTCATTAACGTCATTAGGGGGAGATAATCGTGCAGTGGAAATGCATTAAACGTGTTATTGAAATTGACCAAAACACTTGAATGCAGGACCCTATCAAAAATGAGTCTTGGGGCTCATTTTTGAGTCTCGTTGACGAATTTCTCAACCGGTCCTGGGTGTTGGGACACAATTTTAAAACAATAAATGCACTAGATGCGAGCTTTTTACAACAATAACTCACGACAAATACATTTAAAATAAAATAAAAACTCTCACTACCCTCACCATTAACACCGCCCCAAGACTGTATGCATTTACTGTATATAGTAAGCTAACGTTTCGGGGAATGACCCTTCAATAGAGGGCCACTGGAGCTTTGCACTTTTAAATCGAGATTGAAAACTCATTTCTTTAGAACTGCTTTTTTTGTTCAGTTTGGCGTCCCCCCTCCTCTGCAGCTACGTACGGTGCGAAAGAAGTTTAACGTTGAACTTCCCTGGTAAATGTGGCATTGCTTTCTGGCATTGTAGATTAAAAAAAAAAATACGCATGAAAGTTCACCCCACAAACCTCTCTTTGTACCCCAGATAAAATACAGTCCCCTCCGCGGTAGCTTTGCGCTGTGAAACTGGCACCGAATACCGAATGTGCTTGCCGTTGTACTTGCTATATAAGCCAAAGACCTCCCCGTATAGCCATAACAGACTGTTGGGGCAAGTGCTGTTAGCAAGTAGCACTTATTCAGGCCGGAACGGTACACGAGGGGGTGGGTGTCCAGCAGCACCACGCCCGACCGCCTTTGTCTCCCCAAGTGGCGATGTTTTTACGCACCGCACCAGGTACTCATTTGAGGCTGAGTCGACCTAGGGGAGGCCCAGGACCGTTTCAGATAATCGTCACCGGTGTTGGCCGTCAGCGGGAATTGAACTCAGGTCGCCGGGCTCATAGCACAGCACGCTAACCACTGCGCCACCGCCCCCGTAATAGAGATATATACACCGAGACAGTCCGCAAGGGACAAACACTTTTACGATTTAATATACACAGAGAATATTTACTTTGGCGCAAACGCATACACACGCCTACACGCACACAGAGGGTGTGTGTGTGTGCCGCTCGTGTGCCTTCGTAGGTGCTACTCGCTAACAGCCCCAACGGCCTGGTGAGGCTATACGGTGGATCTTTGTCTTTGTTTTTTTTCTGT